GATCTCACGTCTACCAGTCAACTACATACATACATGCATACATATGTAATATACTTCCTTTTTAAATATTTCCGAACTTTGTTTATTTTTTTTTTATTCCTATTTATTCAATGAGCTCTTGCTTTTATCAGCCTACGTTTCTGTTGTCAACTTAACTGCAGTTGCACATAATTAAATTCTGTAAACTAGTAATTATAATGGTGGCTATTAAAAGTACTTGTTCGCTAACGTGTAACGAGTGCTTTAGAAGTAGTCACTTTCTGTCTGTCCTTTAAACTCTATGCTTGAATGAAGTTACATACTTTATTACACATAAATGATCCACACATACATATGTACAATACAGACAACGTCGTATATGCACAAATATACATAAATGCATTTGATACTGTCTTTAAAAATATTTATTTACGATAACCATATTACCATGTTTATGAGTTTAATATCAACTCTTAAAGGGGCGTGCTATGCAAGGCCCAACGGTCAATGACATTACTAACTTCTTCATTATCACTTCATACATATGTATGTTTATCGTCATTGTGGTTTCAAACAGCTGCGTCGTAGCCACGGCCAAGGCAATACGGCAATGCACAAACTCTTTTGTTAACACAAACAACAATACTAGCAACACTGTGTGCGCAGCGGCGAACAGAGGAGGGCTTAAACGGGGCATAGAGGCTCCATAACATGTTCGCAAGATTCTGAAAAAAGTCAACCGAATCTGCTATAATTATGACACATTTTCGAGCTGGAATTTTTACAATCATATTCTTGAAAAGAGTTGCCACTTAATAAAAAAAATAAATAAATAAAAATTAATGAAAGATATTTTGAATTACCTTAAACAATAAAATAAATGTCCTCCATTTAAAAATACTTTAAACGAAAAATGTTTCCAAAATAAGGTTGCCACTCAACAAAGAAAAAATCGCTTTGAAGACAAATTGAAATATTCGAGGAGCATGCGTATTTAAGGAAAGGCGTTCAAGAACTCTTTGCTTATTAATTTTGTTTTAATATAGGGTTGCCGTATAACAAAAACATACAAAAATAAATATGTACAAAGGCTGGCCAATGAAATGTGTGTAGATATGTAATATCGATTTACCCTAGTAGTTTGTGGCATTTTACTAATGTATTGAAAACCTCATCTATATGACCTTTCCCTTACAATCAATATTTCATTGAGTTTCCAAACAACATTTTAACGATCAGTAGCCATAAGTGTAGTTTAAGATGCCCTCTTAAAAGAAGCTTAGTAATAATATACATTTTGTGATGTAAAACTCATTATTTTTTAATTCAAATTCAAACCTTTTACGGAGGGTTCGGCTTTAAATGACATTCGGCGGATCATATCCTTTTTTGTTTTTTTTTCGGTTTTTCTTAATTACAAAAAAGCATCTGTGAAGTGCAGAACGAAATATATTGAAACGAAAAAATTTCCAAAGATAAATATATTTAAAGTAAACAAAATATCGTTTGGCGCCAAATAATATGTTTTTTTGATTGAAGCATAGGGGATATCGACGGTTGAAAGGAAGATCGACCCATCTCAAAAACGATAAAATTTTTAAAGAACGCCCTATTTCAAAATTTAGTTGAAGAACTTCCTAAAAATAAATAAATAAATATGTATTTTAGAATTCAGTTCAAAAACGCCCTACCTCAGCTGCCGATTCAAAAACGCTCTATCTCAACATATTTTCAAAATATTTTCAGTTGGTAAGGGCGTTTTCAACCAAGTTCGAAAAAGAGTGTTTTTCAATCAAATTCTGAAATATGGCGTTCTTCAACCAAATTTTTAAGTGGGGCGTTCTTGAAAAGTTTTCTGAGAAAGGGCGTCGTCGAACGGGCTGCCGAGATAAGTCGATCCTTCACTAAGCCATCGATATGGTATAAATACTTTCTTTCTCAGTGTACGTACAAAATAAGGTCATTCACGAAAATTTCGAAATTTATAAAAACCTTTGGACTCTTTATAACTCATCGAGTTTATGATATTACATCAATAATTTTCAATAACATGTCAAATTTATCGGATTTCAAGTCAAAATTTTGTCCTTTTTTTGGGATTTACAAAAAGAAAAGTATTCTAAGCTGACGCATTAGGACCAGCCTAATGGGTAGATACGGCAGCGAAAATATAAAACGGGGCGCGACATTCTAACAAGTTTTGGCTATTTTTCTTTTGTTTATTTAATGTTCATTATTTATTAGCAAAAACAATACAACTCCGAATTTAAAATTTTGTACAAAAATTATGTATATTCGATTTATTAAAACAAAAAATTTCTATGCAGTTGCTTAACCTTTATTATTTTTGTTCGATAAAGTTAAAGTTTGAAGTGGGTACAAAATACCGTTGATTTTTGGTCATCTTTTTTTTTGTTGGCGTGGTCCCATGAAAACATATTCGCCATTTTTTTTAACAAAAAAATGCAAAATTACAAAACTACATACTAAAAATATTTCTAAGAAATCTAATTAAAAAGCTCAAAATTTGTTATGAAAATTTGTCGAATTTTCCTAATTTTTGCACATAGTCTGAAACCCGGACTTACTTGATTTTTGTTAGATAGTAAGCGATACTTTCTTAGACAAATAAAAAAAATACATTAAATAAAGAAAAGAAAAGTGCCCAAAACTTGTTACTGTCGCATTCCTATTTATATTTTCGCCACTGCATGTAGATTTAATTGTTATATACCTACGTCGTAAATTCTTAAAACAGTTTAAATCCTATTATATTTTTTCATTGTTAATATCTTCCTCTTCATTCTTATTATAATTGCTCATATCTACCTTCTGGAACATTTAAACTACAAAAAGAACACGTAATAAAATTGAAACCTGTTTCAACAGCCTCAGCTTAATATTTGCCAAGTAGCCAATTGCACTGAACTTTTCAACTTAATTTTATTCGCATTGCCTTTTTTTTGTTCTGGCATTACACACACACACATGCAAAACTTTTTAATTTTTTATAAAACTATTGAATGGACAATAAACATGCCACTTCAGCAATTTTATGGAAGATCATTTATTTACGCCACTTCATTTGTTTCATCGTGACTCCACTCCTTTTGGCCGCTTCACTCCTTCTACTTCACTTGCGCTGGCTTCGTTACCTCGACTGAGCGAGCTATGAGCTGCGGGCTGCGATTAAAGCAACCCTGTAGCGTCGTCGTTTTTACATCTTTTCGCATTTTTCTTACTTCTCACCTTTGTGCAAGTCCAAGGGCGCAATGCAACTTGAGGTAGATTCATAAAACAAATTGTAAACATTGTCGCAATGAAAACCGATTTTTCGTTCTTCACACACTTTTCCGCACTCGATTGAGCGTTTACTTGTGGTTTTTGTGGTCCCACCTAGACATGCACGCATACATATGCATTTTTCATTTAGTTATCACACGTACTCGCCATTAAGTGAATTACGAATGCATTTTTACCTGTGTCAATTTTATTGACCTGCAGTTCAATATCGTTTTTGAGTTGAATATAATTGATTACCGCAGTCACTGAGGATGGGTGTGAAACATGGTATTGACGGTTGCGGAATGTGGAAGGACGAGAGTGAATGAAGATGGCTTCATTCAAAGATGTTCTTAAAAAAAAATGAAACAATAGCAAACTCAGCCCTCTGGTTATTTGAAGAATAATGCCAATGGACATATGACCTTACTCATGAATGAGAAAAAAATTTGAAATAGCATACTTTCTACCTTAGCCCGAAAATACTAGTTGTTTGCGTTTTCTGACAAATGGGAAATTTTAAGTTAATACACTTTTTAGAATGTATGTCATACATATTTAATTACATAGTAAACATTGTCTAATATTCAGATTAGGCATCAGCCCCGCGACAGTGTTGGTGCAGCACCCCTGTCTGAACTGAGAATTTCAATTTGGAATTGCATAAATTTTTAGTATACGCCCAGCAGACTACCTTGTGACTAAGTTTAAAAACATCCAAACAAAGTATGCGGAAACTTTCCTCTGACGATGAGTGCTACGTCATCAACTTAGGGGACAGCCCGACGATCTCTACTTTCTAACAACCCCACAATATCACTCTGCGCTGGCTGTATGCACTACTCCACATCGCTATGACAGTTTTGTCTCAGAGCGTGCCGGACAAAAGCCTATCTACATTGTTCTCGATAGCCAGATTAGTCAGGGTTCTTACTATATCCTCGGGTAGCTCGTTATTAAAAGCTCTTTTACTTAGTATTGAGGAATCCGTCAACCACCTTTCTTTGTTCTTAATAGTCTACTCTACATATAACTTTAAAAGTTGAATGGAAACCGATTTTGACTGATCTTCTAATTAAGTAGACTTGGGACTCAATCTGGTCCGGCAAACTTGAAAGGCTTGTATGAGTTAACCGCCTAAACCAGTTGACTCTTTTCCCGGAAACCAGAAATGATATTGATTTTATTTTTAGAAGCTGATGAAAGATTCACTATTGTCTGTCGAAAAGCGAGCGCTTTGAAAAAAAAAAACTCCTACCGAGTTAGTAAGCCCCGACTTTACCTTACGAAAAAATTTAATCAGCCACTTGAGTAGGGCTGGGCTCTTTGTAACTACTTCTTAGTCACATAAATAAAATGGTAAACAAAATACTAACATCTGTACATACATCTAGCGTAATTAATCAAAAGAAAAGTACGCGGTTTGAGATAAGAACCTTCTGTAAGTTTGTTTTCAGTTACACGTTTGAATTTGCTTGAAATGTTGCGATCAACAGATCTTACAAAAAATACTCTTAACATCAGAGAGAACAAGCATACGATGTATGAATGTATGTATGTAAACATACACACGCAAGCCATAAGCTCTTCTCAGCTGTCATTTCGCGGCTTAAACGTTGCCTACATTTAGGCACTTCATTTTAAGACATTTCTGGTTGTACTTTATCAATATTTCTTGCCTCTATCTGTACCTAATTTAACCTCATCTTCATCTCTCTTTCTCCCTCTCTCCCCTCTAGGACAAGCTGCTGAGCAAACTCGAGGAAAGCGAACCGGATCCGCCCACCTCACAGGAGGATGAATGTGTCATTTGCATCAATGCGCGTGCCACCATGCAAACGTCGCCCTGCGGCCATCGTGTCGTCTGTCGTCGCTGTTTTGTCAAGACAATACAAAGCGCTGTTGCGCAACGCCTACTACCGCTACGCTGCGTCATTTGTCGAGCGCGTGTCAATCGACTCACTTCCAGCTCGGGCACTTGGCGCATACAGGAATCGGCGAGCAGCTATTCGATGGGTGCCAAGAGCTGGGCTTCAGCTGGCGTTGGCGCTGGCGGTGTGCACGCCTCGGCCAGTTCCTATTCAATGGGCGATGCACATAGCGGCCACCATGTCTTTCATCCACATCCCGCTCTACACGGTCGCTATCCGCGCAGCCCGAATGGCGGTGGTCACGTAGCGCAATCGGATAGCTTATACTCGATGAGTTCGACTGGTTCATCATCGATGTCCGGCGTGTCACACATGTCTGCCTACTCTAAGACGTCTTCCATTTCGAGTGGTCTCTGCTCACCCGCCTCACCCATATCACCGTCAGCCATGTCAGCGTATACACAGACACCGGTGCTGAATAATCATTTGGCGCCACCAGGCGCTTCAAACTCACATGGCGCGTTGTCGTTGTCGCCCTCGGGTTCAGCGTCCGGTTCCTCTGTGTCGGGTTCGTTGTCGCCGCGCGATGATGGCCACCATCACTCACATTCGCATTCCGGTGGTTGTCCAGCGGGCTGCTCGGGTGCCATACCACGTAAGCCACTCAACTCATTGAGTACGTCATCATCGAGCGGTTCGAGCATCAGCAGTTGCAGCAGTTTCCCGCCAGCGACACATACCTACCCTGGGCGTAGACATACGAAAGGACGACTGACGGATCTACAAAATCGACTGCCACCAATTAAAGAGTTCCGCAGCCCAGCCAAAGTGCCACATCCATCGCCGGTGCACATCAGCAATCCGCGCTTTCGGTGAGTGCGCTTCTTGCAAAACAATATACATATTTAACTCTTTAGGCTGATACATTTCTCTCCGTTACAGTTACGCCTCTTATACCAAATCTTCGTCGAGCGCGCACGAAATAGCGCCACTGCTACGCGAACCGCCTTCACCGCCCAAAAGACCCATGAACATATTGGTGGGTTCAGCGTCAACCAATGGCTTGGGTCCACCACCACTTAAGGCTGGCGGGAGTGCCAAAATTAGTCCTATAGTCTCGAAGAACTCGCTGCCGAAGAATGCCTATACTTTGGGTAGCAAAGATAAGAAAAATGTCATAAATAGCAACATTAGCGTTGCAAAAGCGAACGGCAAGCTTACAAATGCAACAACAAACAGCAATAATAATAAGAAAATAACACATGACGCTAACGGTAATACCATTTCATCGGCGGCGACAATAACTGCGAAATCGACGGCAGCGGCATCCCAGCACAGCAACAATAAGGCGTATTCGGCGCCAAATTCACGTTCTAATTCTTCCAGCCGAAGTTTTCCACTTTTCTCCAATAGCAATAGCAATCACAGTGAGTAAAAAGTTTTGATTTCAAAAGATATTTTTCACAAAAAAACCCTTTCCTCCAGTCCCACAGTTTTTGAAATAGAAAGCTTCATAGTTGAACGCACTAAACATTTTGTGAATCAGGATTTTTTTTTTAGTTTTTTATGTGTTTAAATTTGCACTTACTCGTATATTTTAAGCCCGAAATACAAAATTACTTTTTCGATTGGTGTCTTGTTGCGTAAAAGGTTTTGAGACCGTAGCGCTTTACCTTATGGCCCTTTTGTGGTGGGCGGCATACTAAAATTTCACAAACCGCAGACCGGATGCATTATGTTAGGTTAGGTTAGAGTTCTTTCCCGAGGCAAGGGTTACACTTGAACAACGAAGAGAATGTCCTCTGTGATACCATGGAAACCTGAACGGATACCATTAATTTAGTCGGAAAATCGCCGCAAGCGCAGAAGCGTACCACAGGAGTATAGAAACATCCGTAGTTGCTCCATATCTGGTGATAACGTTTCAAGGGTGCCTTTTCTTACCACGCAGTTTCCTGCGATGTCACTATGACCCGGCACCCAAACTAGCATTATTAAAAAGTACTCCGAAGCGATTGATAGAGAGGTCAGACATTCACTTACCGCTTTCGAGCGCACCATCATAGCGTTCAGGGACCTGATGGCCGCCTGACAGTCCGAGCATATGCTAGCCTCCCTAACTGAAGTCACACTCTCTAGCAGTGAGCCTAACGCCATCGTTATGGTAGCTATTTTCGTCTGAAAAACACTGCGGAGGTGTGGAAACCTGACAATAGTTTTGAGTGAGAGTTCCCGACAGAGAACACCTCCACCAACTCTGCCTACATGTTTTGATTCATCCGAGAAGAAGTTTGCCACTCCCTTCTTCCAGTAACTCCCCTTTCCCCCTGCCCAGTCCTCTCTTGAGGGAATGTAGACAGAGAAGGGGCTGCCATTTCGTGGGTGCAGTAATCTATATGTACAGGGACGAAGTCAAACCCCTTCAGAACTCCAGAGTGTCCGGTTTTTGAGCCAGTTGGTTTAGGTATCAAAAAAAATGTTTTCTGTTATTTCAAATTCTACGTCTCACATGGTACACTGGGATCTTAATGATCTCGATCTTTGCTTTGAATTCCCAAGATACCTGCAGCTGCCTCTGTAAAAAATTCTATACAAAATGGCTTCGGTACATATACATAGGACATCCTTCGGCTACTCGGGATATACAATTTATCATTATTCGTCTAGTCTTAAGTTGTACGCCGCCTTCGAATACGGATTGAATTTTTTAAGAACTTGTTCATGTCAAAAATACATATAGAGGCATACCATGTCTATTGAATGGTGACCGATATTAAAAAAAAACTTTCCCGATGTTGCTCTCACCAAGCGTCGAACCTAGGACCAAACAAGTAATAGTACGCACCTCTAATTACACGGTTACGGCGGCCATAAGTATACCAAATATTTTACCGAATATGCCTTCTTTGCTTTGCGCGCTCCGTCGACAAAAACTACTATATCTTGACGACAAGCACTGCGCTCAGTAAGACAGTATTGTTTAAGCTTAGTTTTTATGCGTGTTTTAGCCTGTCCGGTTTATCGGTTATGCATTTAATCTTCCCTTGTTGGGCTCGTTCGAAAAATGACACCACGTCAAATTTGATCGGCGTTGAATGGAGGCTATAGTAGAGATCAGGGATGAAAAAGTAGGTACAATTGTACCTTTTTCCGACGTTTGATTACTTAAAGGTACATTAGGTACCGGCACTAGATTTGAGGTACAATCATCTTTTGATCAGATGCATTATTAGTTTTTTTCCTTTACCGTGCTAATATATTTACTTGTAGGTACGGGAGAAGTTTCGCTTTCATTTTGAAGAATAAACAATTCTAGAGAAAAGTGGTCAAAAGGAAGACATAAAAAAAAAACCATATTATGTATTATCTTAAATATTTTACATTGCATTTAGAGCAGGCACTACGAAAGATTAACACTTCGTAATTTTGTTCTATTAATTTTAACGCTTATTTTCACTAAGTCAAATTCAGTGGCATTTGCGGTCAAATGAGTGAAATGGGACTAAAAATTGGCCTTGGTTTGATTTAGATCAGAATAGGCCTTCAGGCGAGTACATGCGCTGCTAAGGCGGCTATTTGTAAGTTTTTGGCCCATAACATCATCGATAAAGGTAGGGATAAGGAAAGAAAGTTGTGTCAAATGAAGTCGAAAAATTTTGTTGTCAAAATATTACATTGTGAAAACCAGCCTTTATTCATCCATACAGCCCAGTGTCTAGGGGTTGTCTTCAAATTTCATATTTTTAGATGAGAACTACAGCTATTTGACCCATACTCGCTTTTGGATTTCTGGAAATATATATTTTAAATGCTTTCGAAGTTACTTACGGCACATTGATTATATTCTCTAGATTTGCTGCACCTATTAAAAGGAATCGGATAAATTAGCAGACTTCCCGTTGTTTTATAAAAAGCTGGATAAAGAAGTATACTTCGCAAAGTGTGTTTTTTTGTCTTTTTCGCCAATATTTTTCAGTAGTCAAAATTAGACAAAAACAATGCGTCTCCGATTCCCATTAGACTACAGTCTATAGATATAGGCTCAGTTGAAAAACCTAATCATGTTTAAAGTACATATATCTTTTGTATTCATGTTTTAAATAAAACTTATAAAAAAACTACAAATGAATGATGTAACTTTTTTTAGGTACAATCTGTCTCATTTAGGTACATTTATTTTGTGATATTAGGTACAATCTGAAATTTCCATTTTTCAACCCTGGTAGAGGTCATAGCCTACATACTATTTATATAACTACTACGTATAGCCATTTCTAAACATAGCAAGCATCAAATTGTATAAACTTTACTTGGAATGTTCGAGCCGTTAATGCGGAATATATTTCTACCCACACCAGACCTTCAATTCGATCCTGACTATATTAGCGGTGGACTTCAGAGTTAGGCTTGACCAATTTTTCTGAGGCAATCTAGGAACATAGAACCCACCATCTTGTAATCGTAAATTTTTTGAGCACTTGCTTGTATACTTACCGTTTTGTAGTATTACTATTGTTTGGGGGCAAGATAGTGCCTCGACCTATATAAAACTATTGAGCTACGGCTTAAAAAAGCACTTCAATCTCAGGCTATTTATAAATTTAAGACTTCAGAGGTTATCATCTTCCTGATTCTAGATGGGGAGGTAATTCGTTTATGGATGCCAATTTCGAAGGCATCTTCTTGAAATACATTTGTTTTAAAAATTGCCTATTGGTAAACTTTTCTTAATCCTAGGTCCAAATACGCCCACCTCAGTGTTGCCTTCATTGAAATTGGATCCATCAGTATACCAGTATTGTGAGCATTCGACACGGTTTTATCAAGCGTATTTCAAGTAAAACGCCCTTTGTTTTAAACCCAAATTCCTCTTTTATAATATGGGTTCTTCTGCCACTTCGCTCTTATTTGTCATTCTTGACAACCTGCATGCAACTTTCAAAACTTTATATATACTACAACCAACGTTAAGATGCCCACAAACTGCCAGCAGGAAACTTTTAAACAACAGTGTAATTTCCATCTCCGCCTATAATTATATACATACCTACGTATGATGAAAGATAATTTGCGATATTTCCTCCCACACATACATATATACGTACACATCGCATGCAATCTAGATATTATAAATATATACATATGTACAATGCACAATACATTGCACTCTGTTCTGTTTCTTTTGTTGTTAACTTGCAAAGAGGAGAAATCCGACAATAAGAAGAACGAATCTATGGAGCGCAAAAAGAAGGAGGAAAAACTTAAACTAAAAGCGGAAAAGGAAGCGAGAAAGGTGGGTGCACGTCAACGTGACGCTACGACTGCGACACGAACTAACGGTGTTTGTAATGATGAACATAACAAAAATGATAAGCATAAAAATGTTAAAAATGATGAGGATAATGATGATGTTGCACAGAACGGCGATGGTGGTCTAAGTGGCGGTAGTCGTGATGGTGGTGGTGGTGGTGGTGTCGGTGGTGGGTTATTATGCTTTTATGGTGGTTTGGCTGCCTGGAAAGTGATGTCGGTAATTGGTTTATCACACACACAAAATGCATATTCATTGTTGAGTTGCTGTTTTTGTTTTTCGTTTTCGCCTTATATATTCTGCTAAATGTGTTGCTTTTTAAATTCATATTTACTCCTGCAGTAGTGTTCTCAGCACCCCTAATTGTTTCAATGTCTTAATAATAAAATTAGAGATTCATTTTGCCAATTTAACATGAATATTTTACACCTACGTTGATCTAAAGAAGAAGACAGTGATTTTTCCATCACACATACTTGTTAAATACTACTTGTTTGAAAAAATCCCATCGAAGATGCTTTGCTATCAACTTTTCGGCACAGTCTTGTCCGCATTTAAATTATTCTAGTCCACCGAGAGAAAATTCAATAACTACTAGAACGCCATCTATTGAAAGGAATAGACCCCGCTAAAGTGCCTAGAATTAGTGCAGAATCCGGAAACTGCCTCTTCTAAAGTATTTATGTACAATCATTTGTCCTTATATGCAGTTTCTTCCTGAATAAATTCCGTCTTTTGCACAGTATCGGCATTAGGATCTAAGCCGCTGTTCTCAACTCGTCTCAGGCAAGTTTAAGGACGTGAGCATCGCCTCCAAAAAAAAATTGGTCCTGGTACTTATGACAAAAACGAAAAAAACACAAGAGTAATTTTAAATGTTATATAAATTATTATTTTTGTTATTTTATAAAGAACTTTAGATATGCAGTTTTATAACCCGTTAGAGTTCTCGCAGAACAAAAAGTTATTTTACAAGAAAAAAATTTAAATTTTATGAAAAATATTTACCAAAATTTTTTTTTTTTAATTTTAAAGTAAGCTGTTATAAAGCCCAAAAGATTTTAGTATAATAAAATTAACTCCGAACACAAATAATCAAGCTTGACTATGTGTCGAAAATTTACGCCTAAAACTATGCCGCTAAGATTTTTCTGAATTTGAATAAATTTGTTGTGGAATTTTAAAGCGCCTAAGACTAAATTTTTCCAGCATAGTTTTGGTCGTAGTTCTTTTGACAAATAGTCAAGTTTGACAATTTTTCAAGTGCACAGAATTGGGGGTAAGTCTTTAGCTTTAGCGATTTGCGTTGAGTTGCTATGGCATTTTCATCCACATGCGTAAAGTGTGATCGAAATGTCAGCAAAAAAAATATTAAAATTAACCCGAATTCTTACTTAGATTTTATTATACATATTTAATGGGCTCAGGTATTTTTTTATTTTTTATAACATTTCAAATTGGTCTTGCGAACTTTTTTCATTTTAGCGAAACCTTAATAACATCTATAAGCAAATACAAATTCAAAAAGTTGGGCCCAACATGTCTTTTCAAAATAGGCTTTCATTAAAAAAAATAGTAATCTGTTGAAAAATAAAGGCTGTGTACTATTTTAAACAGCAAATTTCAGTTTTGGACCGCTATGCATTGGCATTGCCTACCAGTAGACTCAGAGATCTTAACTGCCACTCGCAAAGCTATCAACACCGTTTTTATAAACTCTAACCCAATCGAATTCAGCGACCTTTTACTGTTTACTGCTGTATTTCTTTTGGTTTTTCCTCAACTTCGCTTAATTATTTCTTTTTTCTTTTTATTTCTTTAATTTTTATTAGGCGTTATAGTGTATAACAGTTGTATGGCCCCTATACTATTATCATTTTTGAAATAACTTTTGTAGCGCACCTCTAAATTGAGAAAATTTTGCTTAAATATGTAGCAGTATAATTTTTTAAATACTTACATACATACATACATAGTAGTTAACTGAAAACTTTAATTTCTTAGTTTCACCAGTCGCTGAGCTCCATTCTCTTCCGGTTTCCGTACTCACCCACATTATTTCGGAAGCATATCGTTTTCTTCTTCCTACTTTTCTTCTGCACTGACTTGCATCCTCTTCGCCCTTTTTTATTCTTTCCTTCAACAAAGCTGCCTTTAGCTATCGTAATTGCTCCTTTTCATTATTGCTAAACATAAAATCCTTTTAGAGCTCGTTATTGTTTTTTTGTTTTTTAGTCGCTACATAGTATGCCTTCTTATTGTGCTTTTCATTGCTTTTTTATACTCCGCAAAAGTTCATTGTTTCTACTGCATAGTGCTCGCTTCAAATGTGTTTTTGTTTTATGTGTATTTCTTTTGATTCCCGACAACAACCGCCACAAAATATGCCACAAAACTAAATATCGTAACTATAGAACGGGAAATGTGTGCCTGAGAGTATGAATGAACGTACGTATGAAAAGGCCCATAAGAGAAGCCGTACGAAGTACTGAATAACTGTTTACACTAGTACATATGTGCACTAGGGTGGTCCAAAAATGCATGTGAAAAAGTAAAGTCGGAATTTTCATGCTCTCACCCCCTAGGATTGTTCTATACCGAAAAAATATACCCCTATTTTTTATTTTCAAATCAAAAAATATTTGCAGATCGCTCAAAGTGTTCCATGTATTTTATAGGGGAAAAACACTTTTCGTGGAAATGGTATAGAATTCTTGAATATCAATATTTTTCGATCGGAAAACTTTGTTTCTCTTCAGGAGATTCCCAGTTATTTATTTAACCATTTTTTCATAGTTACTATGTTTTACTACCAGAAAATGCAATGGGGGGATAAATAAAAAATCTTTAGTATAAAAAATGGTTAAATAAACAATTGAGTATTGTTATTGGAAGTCTCCTGAAAAGAATTCCATACCATTCCAACGAAAAGTTGTTTTTTCCATATATAATATATGAAAAACTTTCAGCGACCTCGCAATTATTTTTTTTCGGGCTTGAGAGCATTACAATTCCGACTTTACTTATTTTGCACCACCCTAATGTACACACAGGGTTATTTTTATTTGGTATTCAAAAGTTTACTAGCATGTCGCATGCGTTTCAACAACTTCTCTTCAATGAATGAATGAATGAGTGGCTGAATGAACAATTGCAAATTGGCTCATACACTAGAAACAATGGAAAACTTTCAGTAAAAAAAATAAAAATAATCTGATAGTCTTGATACAGACACGCATATAGTACGTACGTACATACATAGTGTAGCAATAACAGTTTTCTTCTACTTAAAATAATAACTAGCAATTAGGCATTTTTATGTGTAACCACATTTCGTTGGCAGATGAAGTTTTTGAACAGAAAAAAATAAAACGTTTTATATAATCCTATAATTATTAGCTAGCAAAAGTAATTTTTTTCACTGTATTTATTACACTGAGGTTTGATGTAAGAGTTCCAGTTACTACTTTCAAGTAGATAATTATGTAAATTTAGTTAATACAACTTTTAAAATGCTTTACTCACAAAAAACAAAAAAAAAAAACTAACAACAAATGAATTTTCCAACTTTCTGTTAAAAAAAAAACTTTTACAGGAGGAGAAGCGCCTAGCCAAGGAAGAGGAGCGACTGGCAAAGTTAATTGCCAAGGAGGAGAAAAAGAAGGGCAAAAAGGAAGCCAAGGAGTTGCTCATCGCAAATGATGGGAACAGCAAGAAGTGAAGTAAAATCGCGTCTTCTCAACACGGAATGCGCACTGAAAAAAATAAATAAAAGAAACTCATAGCCAGTTTCACGAAAGCAATTAAAGTGATAAATAATTTTTTTTTATTTGTACTTAATATGAAAGCTCACAGAAGCGAAAAAAAATATTTTTCATTTAAATGGCTGGTGAAACCGCAGTTCGAGCTTTGACCCAGCAAGCGATTTCGTGCTCCAAAGTACCAAAAGTTCTAAATTTGATAGCAGAAGTACTAAATTAAATGCTAAAAGTACTAAAAAAAGGATGAAAATTTCGTAATTAGATAAAAAGTGCTAAATAACAAACAAAAAGTACTAAATTGCATACATGTACTGGAAGTACGCAATAAAGAACTAGCACTGCTGAATCATATTAAGGACGTACTTCATAAACATATAGAAAGTACTTTGAAAATTACTAAAAGTTCTAAATTAGATAAAAAAAAAGTGCTAAATCACAAACAAAGGGTACCAAATTGCATATGTATGTACTGTGGGTACTAAATAAGTACTAAAAACCATACCAAAGGTACTGAGACAAATACGAAAAGTGCTAAATTAATGACCAAAAGTACTAAATTACATGCTATTAGTGCTAAATAATCTACTAAAAGTACTAAATCACAAGCAAAAAGTTCTAAATCACTTATTATAAGTATTCAATTGTGTACTACAACTACTAATTTTGTACTTGAAAGTTCTGAAAAGCATAATAAAGTACTAAATAAAGTACACTTGTGCTAAACAATATTAAAAACTGCTAACCAAAATTCAAAAATTGAATCCCATAACAAACTCTAAAACATAACAACTAATCTCAAAAAGCACTAATACACTATGTATACAAAAGCAAAATTTTCTAAATTACAAAAACCAAATTCTAAGAAACATAGTAACTACTACTAATCAGTACTTTTCAAAAACTACTTAGCATACAAAATGTGTAGCTGTTAATACAAAATTTTTTTACAAAAATTATTACATGCGTTTGTAAGTACTTTCGGAAATGCATGCTCCAATACCTTTGTATATGTTTAGTGTATAATGGAAAATAGTTTGTTTATTTTTTGCAAAAATTATGCTCCTCGTATATAAACTTTAATTAAATTAAACTGTACTCGTACTTGTAGGTGCATACGTAACTTAATTAATTGGATTTTAATTAAATAGTTAACTCCCGTAAATGCCAATTTGACTAACACAAAACGCGAATGCATAAATTGTATGTATGCATATACTGAGAGAATTTTTCTGATGTTACAACTTTCATCTGATATCAAGTTTTCAAATGATTGAGTGGATTTGTTTTTGTTTTTTCGAGTAAGGTTCAGTTTTTTGAAAGTACGGGCTAAGGGTTCAGTAATGGCTGGATAAAGTTTCTTTTAAAACGATCAAATATTTTTTAAGTGTCAGCGGCACAAGTGTGTTTATACTACTAAGCCGAAGCGATAGTCTTTATTTTAAATTTTTTTATATATATTTTGCAATTTAGACATATTATTCTATATAGTTTTATTTACGGCACTATTTGACATCCATTTAATGCTTCAGTTAGAAGCAGCAGAGGTTTTTACATACTTTTTTTGTGAAAAAAAAATACTTGCATATTCACAAACACTGCGCATTACAAATACTTCAGTAATGAAATCAAAATTTGAAGTCGCAGCTGAATCAGTAGAAAAAATGAGAAAAGTTGTCTCAAAGCCTTATAATGGAGTGCCAAATACTAAAATCTATACTCATTGGTATATCATTACCATTACAATTATATATGCAAACCTACATGCATCAAAATATTTCTAATTTCGAGATCATAACAGTCCATAAAAAAAAAACATTTTGGGCCGTTTTCAAAATCAAAAAATGTGTTTGAAGGACAGATAAATTTCAAAACCTACTTCAGAAAACGGTCATTAGCTTATCAAATTTTGCGACTCGAATTGAAAACCTGTAAATTTTTTGTAAGTGTGTAGGCATGTGACTGTAGTTGCTTTTTCAACTTTTTATTTAAATATTTACTTCTATATTTTTTCATAGTTTCCCCTTTTACAACACTCTGCCGTCGGTTGCAGAGTTCGTAGTTGAGAAGAGGCATTAAAATTGCACTTTTCTTAGAGTAAAAATAAGTTTGTAAAGAAATTTTTTGTTTTGTAAGTTGTGAATAGTTTTAAGGGGGCATACTTTTTTTAGCTAAATTATAAATATCTTATCAATACGGAAGCATTTGCATCATCACTGTTTATCGCTCCAAAGTTGTTCACAGTGTAATCCCTATCTTTACAGGGTTCATTACTTAAATCACCTAACTGTCAATTGTATCCTTAGGAATCTCGTCTTAGACTAATTCGTCTCCAATTGTACGCGGAGGCTACATATTAGCCAATGGCTAACGAAACACCCGTTACAACCGTACCAGCTCGCTTTTTAACTGAACTTTCATCCATTTCGTTAATTTTATTTTATGTAGCAAAAAAATGTGGTTAATAAAACCATTTTAATCGCTTAAGCTTTGATCTCAGCTCTCAAAAAAAAAATACAGGGAACATTTTTCATTCCTTCCGCCGCTTGAAATAAAAGCAGGCAAGTAAAAAAAAATTGGAAAAGTGTAGTACAAATTGTACGAAATTCCTTTAAAGCTGGTTTAAGAAATTTTGCTATAAAAAAGTTTCATTTACATTTCTTACGCGTTTTTATATGAAAACTTTGTTTTTTTTTTTTGATAGCTGCATACTAAGCTGAAAACCAAATTTCCCGAAACTTTTCAAGTTCAAAATTTGGAAAAAAATTCGTTATAAGTTACAGTTTCGTTTTTTTTTTCGTTCCGTTAAAATATTCAGAATTTGCTATGTAGACTTTTGAGTCGACACTTCGTTATATAGAGGCTTTGAAAATTGTAATGAAAACTTGCTGCGTTTTGCGAGTTTTGCATAAAGTTTAGGAATTTTAATTTTTTTTTTTTGTTGTTGAATGAACCACATTTTTATACAAAATTGGCGGAAAAATATTATAATAAAAATTGGGAAAAATTTGCTGTGCCAATACTTTGTTCCGGCAGTGTATATATTCTGAAGGTTTAAAAGTTCCTGAAGGGTCCCCTCAATTTTCACAAAGTAACGAATGTTACATACTTACATTTCTTAGCTTGAGTATTCACAAATATATCAAAAAAATATTTCGCCAGTATTCGATATTTTTAATCTTTTTTTTTTAGATTTATGGAACTTGTTTTTGTAACAATTGTTGCAACCAAAGTTTTCATATGATTTTCAAGGAACTTTGCGAGTAAGTAAAAAAAAATAGTTTTCTGAAAGATTATTAAAAATTTTAATTTTTTCTTAAATTTTTTTGACGGTTTTTTTAATGTTTTTTTTAATTCTCGTGATTTTTAGTTATATCTGTTGGGCCTTTTTGTGTGCGACATTTCGTGAAGAATCTCAGCAAACGATTTTGTTATAAATTCAGTTTTTCGTTCTATCAAGGTTCGCAATTCAGGGTTTCACCGTAACGGATTTTCCATGCCATGCTGGGGAAGGTAAAGTCTTTCATTTGACACCATGTCACAATGTCACGGGCCTTACTTCGAGAACGACAAAGGAGCAGCAGTAGCCGTCAATCAGCAAACTTTTTTTTGACCGGAACTTAAGGATTTAGATCTGGTCGCGGACATTTGGAGCTCCATCATACAAAAAAAAATCACAGGACTTGTAATTTCGATATTCGTGTGTATGACTTGATCACCAAGATCCTGCGATATAACATCATTGGACTTCTTATTGTGGAGCCATGCGAAAGTCTGTGCTTATGAGAACAATTCCACTATTTTGGAATAATTGAAGGATAAGGTACGACAAGTAGTGTAGAAGGGCCCGTCTGCACTCGCGATGAGTAACTGCCGCAAATTTGCACTGGAGAGAGAAAATTCGTGAAGATTTGTGTTCTCGGCCCAAATCGACGAACGATTATAGTGCCATATAAGAAGAAGGAGATAAGTCAAGTTAATGCTGTTGTTTTTTAACCTTACTTTCCAAAGGAGCAAAGTGATAACCCTGTGTTTTTGAATATAATATTGCTTTCCATTGCTTTATTTATTTTTTGAGTTTATAGTTTGAAGTTAATATACATACATACATACCTATTTCAGTATTTGCAAATTTGAGTGTATCGCTATTTGTCGATTATTTTTCTCAAGTGCAGATAAGTAATTTCTTTTCCTTTTGAAGTCAATTGCTTTCTTTTGAGTTTCTCTTCTCATACCTCTCTCAAACTAGGATTTTCCAAAAAAAAATTACACTCTTCAATAAATAAATACAGAAAAATGGTTGTTACCCTACATGTGTAAGTGTACGTTTTCCAACTTTCACTAATGAGTTTTCGTTTCAAAAACCGAAAAAATTTAAAAAAATTATCAAAAAAAAAGCAAATATATTCTAACAATTCGTACTCTTTCAATATAAAATCAATTAAATATAAATAACTGGTTGAAAATTCAGTAATTTCATTTTTTACACTGGTAGCAAAAATATCCTAGACCAAGTTTTCAAAGAAAAATGTTATAAAACGATATATTTTATATTAAAAGATTTCAATTTCAAATGAGAAATTTCTATATTAGATTTTTACTTGAAAAAAATACTACTTGAAAGTATGTATACTAATTTCATATACTGTAGTTTAAAAATAAGCAAAAAAAGGCAAGCATGCCGAATTCAATTAGTTCGATAGTGTATAATCTTTAGTAGTTTTCATATATAAAATGACAAACTGATAAACATATTTAAGCTAATGAGGGTAAAAAGTAAACAAAATGTATAAAAAATTTAACAAAAATATATACGGCAATAGAGGAGTTAATGCAAAATATTGCACATACATACATATGTATGTGCATGATTACTTACAATAGCGCATAAGTGCATACCAATATTTACAATACTTACATACGTGTATAGTGTACGTAAATTGTATGCAATTACATATTAGTTTATACCTGCATTTCGTTTTAAACTGAAAAACAATAAAAGCAGAGGAAGGAGTTGCTGCTTCTGTGTGTAGAAAAAATCAATCCGCAATTATTTATTGCAATTACATGAAAGAATTAAAAAAAGAATTAATCACTAAACGTGTGTCTATGAGATGTCGGATATTAAAGGCGAGTATAACTACAACAACAACAACAAATCAATAAAGGTCAGTATCTACGACGATGAGCTCGCGCTCGGGCTCATGGCCTATCAAATTCGAGGAGCAGCAAAGTAAATATGTATGTAGTTTTAAGTAATTAGATAATATGTATTTAAAATAATGAAACAAAAAGTACTTATATACGAATACATACGAAAAACATACATACATACACATTACAGTGTGTGTGTGTAAAAAATCATCATCAACGGTAGCATTGAATGTACATATTCAAATGAAAAGCAATGAATTTGTTGTTCTAAAGCTAATTGCAATACATTTGAACATCAATAAAAATAAAAATGTTATTTAGTTATAAAAAAAAAAAACTTTCTGAAACTAGTTTTGATTTTTCATGTGTAAGGGGTATGGGTACGGTGACCATCCGTCCTGTATTATACGGGACAGTCCTCTTTTTGGACCCGTTGTCCTGGCAATTTATTTATTTTGTACGGGACGCCAAATGTTCTGTATTTCTTTTAATGTCCTGTATTTTTCCCGTATTCGGTGTTTCGATGCCTTAACATCTCATTAAAAAGGCCAGCCTATGAACGAGTTTTAAGTGATCTGAATGCCTGTGTTTCGATTCGAGGAATACATACAGTGGCCAAAATAGAAGCTAAGACTCGACATTTCAGCAAAGTTTGGCTATTTTTCCTTAGTTTATTTAACGTTTATTATTCTTTGTGAAAGTAAAGAAAGCTCTTTTCCTAAAAAACCCATATAATACTGTTTAAGTGCGACTGCTAACACCAGGCGCCTAAATTCGTGCAATGTGCTGCTGCATGTCCAAAAATTTCCTTCATTAAATTAATGAATGCACTTCTCAATTGCCATGTAATAAAACTTTCTTAAGTTATAATTTGATAGCAGTTCAAAGTATGCTCGGGCGATACGTTTCGATAACTTATGTTTTGGAACAGTATACATTGTCAATATTTTGTAGTTCGACGTTATGGAACCTTATACTTTGTACGTATGCAAAGCAATTGACGTTTTGGAAGTCAGCCATACTTACCTACTTTGTATGAAAAAGATGCTCACCATCGTCAACAACAAAAAAAAAAAAAAAAAATGGTCAAAAATTAACGGTAAGTCTTAGCGGCTTCAAAATCGCACTTTATTGTACTTAAATTTAAGGTTTCTTTTTAATTTTGTGGGTAAAATTCTCGGGGAAAATTTCCTACAAATTTGTGATGTTACTACAAGGATGCTATTTCAATGCTAATACATCTAGGATTATTGAAGAAGGCTTTAAGATCAATAAGTTTTTGTGGAAAAAATATTCAAAATTATTTTTTGTCCCGTATTCGGCTCCCATAAATATGGTCACCGTAGGTATGGGTGTAAAATTGTTTTCGTACATACACATGTACATATTAATTGGCTTAAACGTTATCAAATTTATTTTTTCTTAAAATTTCTATATAACTTTTTGTGTAAAAATTTCCATAACTAGAGTATGACGTGGGTTATCTGTTATGCGTCGCCGTAGAGAGAATATACTAAATACGCCAGTAAGATTCAAATTTTGGGCAGTTAGCTGTGCGTTTTAGATCAGAAAAATTTGAATACACTGATTAATTTTTAATTCGCAAGATGTCTCACTCGTCGATTTTAAATGAATGCGTACTATGACTAGCTAGGACCCAGGTTCGATTTCTGGTCCGAACAATATTCAAATTATAGGAAAACGTCTTTTATCATAGCGGTCGCCCCTCGTCAGGTGTTAACAAACCTGTGAGTGTGGAGGCGCCATGAAAATGCCTCCCACAAAAACCATTTGACTTGCGGAAATGGCGAAAAACTTTTATTCAGTTTTCTACATTTGCCTACCAACGTCAAAGCGAACACCACCAAATGGAGAAGGTCAGCCAAATCTAAAAAAAATATACATTTTTTTATAATGAAAATTTAAATTTTTGAAGACATTTCAGGATATTCCGTCAACTATATTAGGTGGTATTTGTGGTTAAAATTTGAATTACCATTACACTTACCATTACTATCGCCATTACTGTTGCCATAGCTGTTACCATTACTATTACTATTACCATTACTATAACTATTACTATTACCATTACTATTACTTTTACCATCGCATTCACCATTACCAGTACCATTATTATGATTACCATTACCAGTACCAATATCATCACCCTCACCATTACCAGTACCATTATTATTACCATTACAAATATCATTTTAATTACAATTGCCATTACCATTGCCTTTATTATTGCCATTACCATTATTGCTGATATTACCATTGCCACTATCATTACCATTACCACGGTCAAAACGTTTACCATAATCATTACCATAACCATAACCATAACCATAAGCTATAGCCGTAACTATAACCATAAACATTAGCATGAGTGCCAGGATAAACCACGTCTCGCTATTCTTTAATTCTGCTAAGCTGGAATGGCTTTGAGTGAATCGAACCCAATCGTTGGGGTATTTGTGCCTTAGTATAGTGTACTCAGTAGCCCGTTTCTATTTCCGCCAGACAGTCAATTTCTAGTCATATTCGTTAATTTTCATCAATAGATTGCAAGTTGATGGTTGTGAACATGTTTTTGCGTTTTCGTAACATTTCGCTTCCTTCAATATTGCTATATTGTGTTTTTTGGTTGCCCCACTTTCTACATACTGCTTCAGACAAAGTTCAATGGCTTGAACCTCGGCCTGAAAGACAGAGCTACACTGCCGCATACTGGTGAAAAGGAGCAGTCTGGGTTGTATGCGGCAGACTTCTGCTCCGAAGCCGTGGTCAGTCTTTGAGCTGTCAGTATACCAGATGTGGCTGTCCTTCCGGGGCTTAGGTAGTTCTTTGTCCCAATTATTCCTGTCGGGGACAAAGACCTTAAAGTTAAGTGAGAAGTTAAAACTCGGAATGCACAGGTCCACAGGTTTGCTTGTTATCTTTCCTTTGGCTTATACTTATATTATGAGGAATTCAAATCTGCTGTAACTAGCAAAATTTACGTAAATTTAAAATAATATTTATTAATATTATAATCGTATTTCATAAAAGTAATTTTAAATTAAAAATTAATAAGTTTCAGATCCAGTATTACAGTAATGCATCTCGTTGAATGCAACAAAAAAAAAAACGTAATGCTATATAAAGACAGAGCAAAAATTATTATGTAGCTTGCTGCATTCCACTTCAACAGCCGTCTCTGCATCCTCTTTTGCTCACTTAACCCTGAAACAGGCTCAAGCAATTCGACAATGTATTCAGATAATTATAGCCCAATTCGCCCTTGCAACCATAGCCGCCCAACTTGTGTATGGCCGCATAATCATAGCAATCGACTTGACTGTCACCATTACAATCCTGTGCATATTTGGTCATGTAATTTTGTATGGTGTCGGCAGCGCAGTAGGGATCGTTGACGCAGTTGGCGTAGGCTATTTGTGGAGTAGTGGAATAAATGAATGGTTCAGTAAATTTTCTTGCTTGACTTCCTACATTTACTGCGCTCACTTACCGGACTCCGATTCCGGTGATTCGCCATTCAATGTCTGCTTGCCACCATCAGCCCAGTAGGGCCAAGTGATGCGAAACAGACCACATACGCCGCCAGTGCAAGTGGCTGTGCGATTGCAGCCGCTAATCGCTTCACAAATACAACCCAGGCAAACATCGGTGACTGGTTTATCTGCAAACAAAATGAGCACAATTATTACTTATTAGCTATGTATTTAATAAATGTTTATACTATTTTTGAACTTAATTGATAAGCGCATTAAAAATAATTACGCTGTGCTGATTAAGATTTAAAATTGTATATATTTAGGTGTAAGAAAGACTTAAGTAGGAATCCTCTATCAGCATAATTCTGAGCTTAGTTAATCTTTCATAATACGGTGTGACTGAGCTGATAACTACAATTTTTTAATTAAATATTTATTGTGTGCTTACACTGTATTTATAACTTTCGTAGTGCTTTTTTGCTGATTATCAAATTTAAATTTCTGAGAAAAAATAGCCGCATTTAACCTAAAAGGTGTAATTAAAAATTGTTTTAGCGTTCAAGAATCAGTGACTATATTCCTTTTTCATTGACTTGCATTCACACTTTATGTGGCGAGTGGCAGTTAGCAACAGTGTAAGGAGCGGCGATTACAAATCAGCCTATTTTTACTCGCGAAAATACTCTTTCTGCCATTATAAGCGCCACTTTCCGTTGAAAAACTAAATGGCATTTAAGTTAATTATGAATTCATATTAAAAATCAGGGTTTGCTTTTTCCATATTTAAATTGAGCATTAAAATACGGTTTAACTATTTGAACTGAAAATTTATATTTTTTAATCCTCAAACGGCTCATAAGAAATTGGCTCTAAAAAGTATCGTTCAAAAGCTATATATGTATGTGAACACTTAAAGCTCACTAGTATAATACTAAATTTTCACTAGGCATTAAATGACAAAAATTTTTTTGAAAAAGTTATGCTTTAAAAAACTCGTGTCATTACATTAAACAAAGAATAATTTATTGAGTTCGTTTCTTTCAATTTCAAACAATTTTTTTTTTAATTAATGCACCAATTAAGAGTACAAAAATCCAAGATATGTAAATGCACATCAATATGTAATGGCGAAAATTACACGCAATTAATTATCGTTCAAAAAAATTTGCACTTTAAAGAAAGTTCAATAAAAACCAGCGATTCACGAGCTAAATATTGTCAACAAAATTTTAGCGACATAAAAAAAAACGTGTATAACTGGATGCAAGACGAGATTGATAACCCATTTATTCAACTGCCTGTACATATGTGCATACATATGTATGAATGCAAATACGTGTAGATATTTATGATCGTAGACTTGAGTCTGTTGTCGAATAAATTTATATAATTTATTATTATTACGATTTTGAACTACAAAATTAAATTGTTGCATCAATTTTTAGCGAATAATTCAAAATTTGCATTTTCCGTTCATTAGCATATTTTCAATTCGCTCATTTATTCCGATATTTTTTTCTCTTGTCGTTGTTTTAATTTCATAATAAATGCAATATTTTTATTTGTTGTTATTATTTTTTTCTCTTTAGAATTTCGCATCATCAATAAGTTGCTTGACATAACAAAGTCTGTGAAAGACCCGCCATGTGAACTTTGCTTATACCTACATTCTATAAAGAACTTGACTTTCAACGTTTAAGTGGAATTTTTAGTGCTTTTCGTTTAATATTTTTTTCTTCTTTCATCTTAACTTGATCTTGAACATGCGTTGAGGACAAATAGCTGGGTTCAACGAAACTGCGCATGCGTGCAGCCCGCACTTCCTCTGAGCAAACGAGATGAGGAATCTTGAGGTCATTTATTGCAAATTGTAATTTTTTTACATACATACATACATACCTACATACATTGGTAGTTGCTTGTTTCAGCTTTTTACTAAGTGCCCCAGCTGAAAATTAAAGCCAATTCTGGTTTATTTAGCTACATGCATGAACTTGGTGGCCCAGAGTCAGACTCGAGTACTCTTGACCTTCATGAAATGTTTTTTTTTTTAAGTTAATTCTTAAATATTTATAGTTAATTCTTTAACAAAACCCATGTAAATCCAGGTTTGAAACTTTTTGCAATATTCAAAAACTTTCGTCAAAATTTCGAGCTTTTTTAAAAATTTTAAAAAATTAGCGATAATTTTTAGCCATTTGAAACTTGTACTCTATTCTACTAAAATTCAGTGGGCTACAAAACTACATACTCAGAATCTTTCTAGGACATATAATTAAAAAATCTCGAAATTTTTACGAAATTATGTTGATTTTTTTTTTAATATTGAAAATTTTAATTCAGTGTCAAGCGATTGGTACTTTTGTACAAATTTTTTGGTACAAAAAAAAAACAAAAAAATAAAAAATAAAAATGGGACGACAATTTTTTTGTAGTCACACGATTGGTACAATACAGCGAACTGCTATGAAGAGATGAATATTAAAAAGGCAAAACCTGCAAAAAAGGCAGAAAAAGGCAAAAAAAAATCAAAATTAAAATTTTAATTTTGAATCAAGGAAGATATGAAACGTGTAATTCTTTAATTTGTTTACAGATACGACTAAGCAGACAAAATAGGCAAATGCCTTAAAGTCCTAACCCTGTTGATTACATATAGTTCAACTGCCAAACTCATTAATTTCCTAAAGACATTTTTATAATATGTACTTACTTTCCAGCTGGGCATCTTCCAGATATTATTTATACATTACGAGCATTAAGCAAAATTATTAATACCAACGGATCTTCCTTGTAACTTAAGCTTACCATAATATACCAACAAAAAGAAAAACCACACTCAAGCTACTCTTGCACGTCCATGAACTTCTGTTGTGCTGTCCACACATGATCTTAAGCCACAAAAAAAAACACAACAATGACAATGACAATGACAACAAATGAGAAAACTAGTCAAATCACTTGCTCACAAAAGACGAGTTTAGCAACTTTGCCGAAGCTCCGTTAAAAGTGTGAAGATTTTACTGTGACAAATGATAGTCGTGCTGGTTGGTGGCGCAGATGAAAATATTTAAAAAGTAAGCGAAAAATAAAAAATAAACAAAGTATGCAAAACGAATTGCTAACTGCACTTGAAGATGAGTCAAGTTACAACAAAATATCGAAACGAAAACGTTTGAGAAACTCACCTTGCCTGCTAATAGACATAAATTTCATAAAAATATTAGTAGTCATAGGTGTATACATACATATGCAAATGGTCACATATTAATTTACATAAATAAATAAAACCGTAAACGCGACGTAAATATGCGAATTGAACTTGAACTAGTCTGAGCGTAAAAATACCGATTGTGGTAATAAGCTAGAGTACTTAAAAGTGATCGGTATGAATACAATTTCAAATATCGTTAGCTTAGAGTGAAAAGTTGCTAAGTGCTATTTTAAAAATTTTACAGGAGCAGAAAAAAACTTCTTATAGCCATTTTCTGAACGAATTTCGCAAAACTTTGTATACAATATTTTGCCAGTTTAAAGTAAAGCAAAACTCCTTATGAAACAGAGGGATTTGATCTTCAATAAAATATTAGGCACGTATTATTTTGTCCTTATCAGATTTTCAATGAATAAATAAAACAAATACCTCTATCTTTTTCGAAATAATGTATTTTTAATTTCACTAGCCTCCTGTATCTAAATATGAATTCTCATAAAAAGTGGACTTAGCAAGTTTTCGCTCTAAGCTAGCGATGTAAATTTGTTCTTAGTTCAATTAAATTCTAAGCTTCTTAATGGATTTGTAAACATTCACCCGTTTTTCTTTACCTAAATGTTTGTGTCCGTGCTCCTGTATTTGACAACTTCTATCTAATAGCCCATTTCCATCAAAAGCTTAACGGTAGTTAAGAGCTAGTTCCAAGAATTTGAACACGGGGTGATCGGAAGAATTATTTCTTTCTTTTTGCTTTTTTTTTACTTTAGCATAAACCGCAGTTAAGGCTTGGTGGAAATGAATAATAGCTTTTTAATTTTTTCCTTTTCAATAACGATTTTTTTTTAACCGCAAAAAAATAATGTATGCCAAAAATCCTTTAAAGCATCTCATTGAATTGAATTATTGAATATTCGTTGTTGCATTGAAAGTGTAAAAAAAATACCGAAAAAAAAAACTGTTTTCATCAGAAAAGATTTATTACCGCACGTCAACAAAACGGACAGGGTGACAAAAATGCGCGCGTTTGGCATAATTAATGTGCCACATCAAACAAAAAAAAAGTAAATAAAAGGAAGCCCGAAGCTAAAATAGAATGCACTGTGAGATATCTTTACTTCAGCAGTTCGGCAAAAGTGTTTTGCTGCGAATGACCTTTGTTTAGCTTATTTCTGTTCCATGTTTAGATGATGTAAAATATCATTTAAGTTAAGCAAATTTCTTCAACGAAAGTAAAAAATCCGGAATTTAAGATCAATTTCAGATTTCTGTTCGTTATCTTCTACATATTTTTTTAAGTAATTTACGATATTCATATCCAACAATTACAAATGTAAAAAAAAAAATAAACAAGAGCATTTAGCTTTAGAGGACTTTTCACTCTTTGGGGAGGATGGAACTTTTTGGGGAGCCTGAAAGTCCACATATTTCTAACCCGCCTTCCTGGTCTATGGAACGATGAGCTGTATGACTTTAAAACGACATACATTGACATAGTGCAGCGATTCCTCAGGCTTGGTCGTGTGGTACGAATGGAGGCAAACTCTCCAGCCCTGAAGGTTTTTGGCCACCAGACCAAGGTGGTAAAAACGATAATCGGATAGGCTGTTTTCCAGTCCGACCAAAAAGTCTTCTACAGGCCCACTTGGCTCAGCTGGTTTTACTAAGAGTTTTGTTTAGATGGAAGTTCTAAATTAGTATCTTCGTTGTTGTTGTTGTAGCGGCTACTAAACCCCGCTCAGGTCGGTTCATCCGTCAACGTTGTCGTCCATTTCAGCTAAGTGGAGGCCCAGGAAGTGCGCGACATCGACAGGGTCTGGAGTGTTAGCTGGGTGGGGTTCTCGCGGCATGTGAAGAGGTGCCGAGAGTCATGTGGCGACTCTCATCCTCATTAACTCTGCTCAGGTATGAGTTTAGCCTGCTGCAATAGCCAGAGCGAAGTTGCGGGTTCCCCGAGCCAGACAAAGTTCTGCCCCGTTCACGTCAGGTGGTTGTGTGCCTAGAACGGCATTCACAGGGCGGGAGTCGACATAACGTGACACCGATTCCCTGTGAATGCCGGTCAGGGCCTGTCGATAAGTTGACGGGTCCAGAGGTTGTTTAATGAACCTCTGGACTTCGTCCTTCAGTTCATAAAGATGCCTCCTGACGTGCCTTGGCGAGGGCTCTTCTGCAAGCAGATGTTTGTTTGGATGATCACGTCTGTGGCTCCCCTCAAGAAAATGCTTGCAGAGCATTGTGTTATGCTCCTTGACTGGAAGCATGTGGGCCTCGTCGTGTAGGTGGTGTTGGGGCGTCATCAGGAGGCATCCGGTCGCTGTCCGAAGTGCCGTATTCTGGCAGGTCTGTAGCTTCTTCCACTACGTCCTGCTAGTCCCAGGTGACCACACGGGCGCTGCATAGTTTATAACCGGCCGGCTAATTGCCTTGTATGTTGCCAACAACGTTTCTTTCTGCTGCCGGCCAGCGACTTGAGGACATTGTTGCGGCTCTGTACTTTGTTGACAATTGCGGTTGTACGTATTCACCAAGGTTGAATTGCGGTGCAACTTCATCTCTTGGACCGCAGCTATCAATATTCCATGCCTTCCAATGAAGACAGTTATCTCCTCGATCTTGCTCTGAAGTCCGTTGCAGTTGAATTGTAAGCACCTTTGTGTGCCTTGGGAAAACAACGTTTGATGGATTTCGCAGACCTAAACAGGGTTAGATCGCCGAAACAACAGCCCTTGGTCATTCCGGCACGTAGAACCGGCTGTCGTGGGAATGTAAATTAGTCTCTCATCAAGGGTGCTTCCCTGATGTTTGACTTCGTCAGAGTATTCAAGAGCTTTTCCTCAAATGGTAACCGAACAAAGGTTAGGCTTATCTTTCCTTGTGGACAATACAATAACAATTTTTTTTGTAGGCTTCTTGGAATTATTCGACAACGAGCTATTATTCGAATAATCGATGATGGATGATTATTCGAATTCACCTAATCGGATTTTACTATTTATTTTTTTTTTTTTACGACGGGCATTACGTAGGTGCAATGAACTTTTCAGTAAAAGATCGTAGTTATTATTCATAGGTAAATTATTTATACGTAGATCCTTCTTTCTCATATTTCTAAAATAAAAAAATTAATATACCCCTCTGACTCTCATGGTCTCATATGTATTGTTCAAATTTGTTGACAGTTATGTATATATACATACATACAATACAATACACGTCTCATTAAGCTGCTTTTGTTTTTGAAACGCCCGGGAGAGGCCAAGCTAATCTTCAAGCGTAAGGCGATTATAAATTTGCTGACCTATTATTGAACATACTTTTTACTTTTTCTTAATTTTTTTTTAATTTTTTTATTTACTTTGCTTTGTTTTAATGTAAATCTGTTTAATCTACAGTAAGAGGTGACTTTTATTTGTTTGTGTTATTAGTTTGACATACATACATGTCGTTGTTTAAAGTACAAAACCGCGTATAGTCGTTCTGCAAAACCGCGTAACTAAAATTTGTTGCCAAAAATTAGATTTGCTTACACAAACTCTTGGCTCAATCCTTATTCATTCGTTCTGGAATATACCAGCCAGAAATGCGATTGCTTTATAAAAAAGAGAACCATTTTGAAATACGAGTGTTTTTACTCTCTAGAAATAGTTTATGCAACCTTACATACGTGGTCTTGCGTTTTGGTGATGCGCGGTTTTGTACTTTAAACGACGATATGTACATATTTACATATATGCACACATACATATGAGTACATTTGTATTATTTTATTTGTTTGTGTTATTAGTTTGACATACATACATATTTACACACATACATATACGTACATAAGTACAGATGTATGTACATACATTAGACCGTTCACGAAGAAAAGCTCGCCGTACACCCCTTTTTTCAAGGGAATTTCGAAAAAGATTTTTTTTTTGCTGAACGTAGGGGTTGCCTTTTTACATTTATTCGGCATTTATAATTGGCCAAGTACCCATTTTAGTTGTTACCCACCCCCAGTTCAGTTCTTATCACCTTAACGTTACCACCCTAATGTCAGTAAATGAAAGCTTTCTAAAAATCATATCTAAAAACTTTATTGAGAAAGTTTTTTGATTATTAGAGTAGAACTATAAAAAAAAATTATTGCCAAATGTAGGTGTCACCGGTCGGCAAAAAAACAAAATAGTTTTTCGAATTTGCCTTGCAAAAATTGTTTTTGTTTGCATGTAAGGTGGTACGGTCTAATATACATATGTAAGTATGTAGCTTGTTTGCTTGAAGAACGTTATGACTCAAATGGCTTAAAAGTTTTTTTTTTATACTAAAAATTTTAAGATGTATCTATTGTCTTACAGAGTATAAAAAGGTGTGCCATCAAATCCTATTTTGGTTGCTTACTTTCTAAAGAGTTATTGTATTTGTGTTATAATGGCTAAAGAAAGTGGAAATGAGGCACAATTATCAAAAACCGTTATGATTTTTTATACAGCATAAAAGAAAGACTGCCGGCCATTCCTGCATACTTAATTCAATCTTTTTTTTTGTATTATTATTATGACGTTCTTCCCGCAAAGGCGCGATGTCTACGTAAAGTTGGGGAAAACACATAAACACCGACACAAAAAACTTGTTACGGATTTCTTTTTATGCATTTTTTTTATTTGAAATTCAGTTTGATGACTGGTGCGCGCCGCATGATATCAAAAGCTATTAATAAGTCGATCTCACGAATAGCAACAAGTTAATTTTTTGCGACTCTTTCATACGTTTGCTATCGAATTTTGGGTTTTTTGTTTTAATTCGTAGTATTTATGAGCTTGATATGTTACTTTGATTCTTATTTTAACTTTTAATTAATATTGGGATATTTCATATATTTCTGAGAAACCCAAAACACACGATAAATTGCTATGCGGTCTTTTTTTTCTTATTTTTCCTTTTAATCTACGTTGTCACCAATTCACGTAAGAGATGGCTTATCAGCGTTGTTTCGAGAAATCGCGAATAGCTTCTCACGACAAGTGATTTTCCGCTTTTGCGTTTTTGTAATAAAGGTATGTAATTAATTTTAATATTTATTAAGTAGGCAATTGTCATTACAGCTAATGAATTATAAAATAGTTTAACTAGAAGAAAATTAAGTCATACGCTCCTATGAAGCCGAGCTTTTACATTTCATGTAAGCACGCATTTTTATCGTGCCACTCCCCTGAGATATTAATAACAGAAGTTTTCTTCTTCAAAAAGGCTTTCTACAAAAAAAATTTACCAAGTTCATTAGGTTGAAAACTTCCAATAATTCACTATTAGGACCTATAAGCGCTTACATACTATTTTATTTTTATTTTTTTCTAAAGCACTAAAAGTTCTTTATTACCTACAAAGATTTTAATAGAAATATTTCCTGTTCTTTTATTATTTAATATTTCAACTTTCTGTTGAGCACCAATAAATGATACATACCTACACATGTATATGAAAGAGAAATAAAAAAGCCAACAATTTATGCTTCTAAAGATCTGCAAAAGAAGTAACCAAAAGTCAAATACAAAAGCAAAAAAAAATAACATTGAAACCAAAACACTAATTAATGCTAATCAAATACGTTCAAGCCGGACCTGAGATATAAACGCGTTGCGGTAGTTATAACTTCATAATGAATCAGCCGTTCGTTGTTTATTCCATATGTTCTAAAATCCTACAATTTGCTCTGCATATACATATTTCCCTTACGCCGCTGAAAATTTGCATATTTTCCCCTCACAAAATCACTTCAGATTAATTGTTTATATTTCTCCTAATCGAATTCATTATTAGCTATCTCCGCTTCACACCTCTATCGTACATAAATACAACAATACATAACTAATTCTAAGTAATAATGAAGATTTCTTCTCACCCTGAGCGTTGATCAGCAAAGCAAAACCCACACAAAGCAGCGCAGCGATAGCCAATTTACCGTAGAATGTAATGGCCATTGTTTTCAAAAGTTTTCTTCTAACTTATTTAAACTTTTGTTAATTACGTATGTATGTATATGTGCGTGTTAGCAACCAACGTATACAGTTAATTTAAAAACTCTGCACTTAAGCTGGCGTCGGCTGATTTTAATGCTCTATTCCGTTAGCAGTTTTTTACGTACTTCACACGTTCACGTTTTTCAAGCAACTGAAGCAGCAACACGAAATGTTTGCAAATTTTAACATTCTACTATTGATTGCTTCGAGAATCGTAGCGAATATCAGCATGGCTTAGCGATTGAAGCTTAGGGCTTAAATAAAAGCTCCGAGTACGTGAACAAAGCAAAACAAAGGAGTTAAGACACGAACTTGTCTGTTCACATTTGTGTCACCCTGCACTGTATAGAGCCAAATTTTTTTTCGGGATCTTCAATTTAAGAAATTTATAAATTTAAAACAAGCGATAATGGAGCAATAGCAAAGGTATTCCAACCTAAATGGCATCAGTTTTTTTTTAGAAATCCCGGCTGCATAGCCTCTGTATAGTATGGTAATCAGGCAGGTTTTGCAGATTCTCTCTCGAGCGTATTTCAACTATTCACAAGGCGAATTTACATAAATAAATACAATAAACATATTAAAGTGACTTTGCTTGAAACTCACTGGGAAGTGAATTACAGAACCTGGCTGAATATTCTTATCGTATAAACCTGTACAATGATATCCTCTCTGCTCGAAGAAAATTAAGTTTAAATTAAATTGCTATACTTTGCTGTTCACTTTATTTATGGTTCAAAAGTAAAAAAAAAACGGAAATTAATTTAATGAGGTATTGATCTACATGCTTAGATCTTGTTGAAGGCAGCAATGTCGACGGATTGAACAAAGTCTTCGAATTCCTGTATCTGTTCAGTCAGCAAATCGATTGACACTTTGTCGTCCTCAATGACGCACATAATCTGCAGCTTGTTAATACCATAGCCGACAGGCACCAGCTTGGAGGCACCCCACAAAAGGCCGTCCATCTCAATGGTGCGCACGCTGTTCTCTAATTCCTTCATGTCGGTCTCATCATCCCATGGTTTGACATCCAGCAATACTGATGACTTGGCAATTAGCGCAGGTTTCTTAGATTTCTTAGCAGCATAGGCAGCAACACGTTCCTCACGGATGCGTTCAGCTTCTGCGTCTTCTTCTTCATCATCGGAGCCGAAGAGATCTACATCGTCATCATCAGCCGCAGCGGCAGTTGGTGCAGCAGCAACTGTGGGCTTAGCACCGGCAGCTTGAGGCAATGGAGAACCGCCCCAAGCGGCACGCTCACTGGCCTCGTACGAGGCAATGTGACGATACCAACGCTGCACATGAGGGAAGTTTCCAGTTGGTGCCTTACCCAAAGCATCGAACACTGATATATCAGCTTTGCTGGGTGAATATCTGAAAGTATAAATTTCAAAGTTGTAGAATATGTCCGACGTGACACGGCCAGGCTACACATAACCTCAAAGTGTGGCATGCCAAGTGGCACTTTCCACCGTCCTTACCCGCTAATATAGCTGTTGTCAGCGAGGAATTTCTCCAATTCCTTGAGACCTTGTGGGGTTGTGACGTCACCGAAAGCCATTTTTGTATAATTTATCAGTATTTTAAATGGAAAATATCACCAGCGGCCGTACTGTGCTGCAAGCTGAGAGAAATTTGACAACCGGAAAGGGCAAACAGCTGTCAAATTCAGGGTTGCAAAACCTGAAGAAAAAAAGGATCGAGTGTTACCAGTTGTAGTTTTTATTTATGCATATGCCTTGTAAACAATGAAGAAATAAATTGTTTCAAGGCGAATTTATATAAGGTGGCGTTAGTAGATCAGCTGATTTTGTGTATGTGTTTCGCCTCACGGCTTCTAAAGTCAAATTGAAAAATTATGTTTGAATTTCCACACACACACTTACAGGTTTTGACCGTTTATGCCGCCGAAGCAAAAACAAAATACAAGTAAATTTTTGTTTTTGTTCCCCTGCTATAACCTTATATTAATTCGCCTTGAATCGATTCTTTCAATCGCCGTAGCAAATAAAGCATATTTACAATATGCAACAACTCGCTTAAGTGAAAAAGTTACACAAATCAAAGTAAATATTGTGGCGAATACTGCGGCAACACAAAGCGAACAACGAGAAATAGGCA